GTATTTTATGTCAAGCAAACACTGCACATTTCATACACCACGGGATTTCAGTACTGGGAAAAAAAAAATAATTAATGGGAATTTTCTCTAAATATTATAGAAAGTGCCTTGCAGAGACATCTGGTACGTGCAGAGAGATGGACTGGATGATTAACTTCTTTCCCCATGTACACTGTGAGACCAAGAGTTCCCAGAAGTTGGCATAAAACACAACCTGTCACCCAAATTCAGTTGCCACATGGCTAGCACAACTGTTTGGTAACTACTTGTCTAGTCTCTTCAGTGTCAATTAAATCAAATCTGTTGTGCCACGAAAAAAAAGTTTGTATGACCAGTTGTCACTGTTACTTTATCAGATAAGCATAAAGTGCCCCAAAAATGTGACAATATTTAAATTTACTGATGGGAAACTTTAAAAATCAAGGGCTTCCTCCTTCAATCGAGTTCTCCATTTACAAGGCTCCAGCTTGTGCCCGTTACTCAGGCAGAGCTTGCTGAAGTCAGTAGAAGAGCAGACAATGTGGCATCAAGACCCGGGAAAATGCAGTCTTCTTTTTCAATTTCATAAGAGCTGGAAATTAACGTACTTAATTCTTTTAAAGAGATTTTTGTTCTTGGGGCAGGCATGTTCTGGGGCCTGTAGTCCAAGGTATCTTAAATTTTCTACCCTTTTTTTATCTTTATTGACTACTACAGTAACTGATTCGAGCAGATGATGTAACTGCATGATATATGAGATGTTTGAAATGGCTATGGAAGCCTTCATCTTTAATGTTTTATGACATGCTGAGAATTTGGAAATTCTCTGCCTGCACATTATTTACTGGTATCTTGCCACTTTGTAGCTTGGATCAGTGAGAGCATCTACCTCATCTTGCTCTGATACTAATCTGTTCTCCTAGGCATTTTAAATGTGCTTCTTATTATAGTATTCCTGTATTTAAATATCCTTTCATTTTATCTTCAGGTTAATTATACCTTTTGAGAAAATCCTAATTTGGATTTCTCTTGTTGTATATATTTTTAATCTGCTCCACTCAATACAATGGCAAAAGATTTTTCAAAGAGTCAACAGAAAACTGACAGAATTCAACACCTATTCCAGTTCCTGTGCACTTTGTGTCTTGGCCATACTAATATAGGATATATTTATCAGTTATATATTGACATTTATTAGTACTGCATATTTTTTTCATGCCTGGTCTAAAGATATATTTTGCTATCAATGAATTTGGCAGATATTTTACTTTTTCAAAGGCTTTTGTCCTTTCTTCTTCAGGTGAAAGTTAGAGTACGTTTCTACACTAAATTTTCTCCAGTGGCAAAATTGATCTAAATTCTCTGTGTTTCCCATGATGCTTGCTCCTGCTGCCACATCAATCTTCTGCCATGCTTTTTGTACAAATACAGCCATTTGTGGGGCAACACGGCAAGACAGATTGGTAAAATGAGAGGTGCTAAAAATAAACTCACCAGAAAGAACATTTTTGGCAAGAGAGATTATCTGGTAAATGTAGAAAAGTAGTGGATCCTCAAACAGGTGGGGTCTTCAAACATGATGAAAGATCAGAGACACAAATGTGTTTGTCAGAAGAGGAAAGGCTGAAGATGTCTCTTTCTCCCCCAAAACAATGAACTGGAGACCAGGTGATGGCAGAGGCTGTACGAAATATAAACTTACCTACAGAAAAAAAGAAAAAAAGAAAAAAAAAAAAAAAAAAAGAGAGAGATTGACTGTGGAGATTTTATGTTTAAGATGTCGGAATATTCACTAAAAGATTTCAGAGAGAGTCAGATGTGGGATCAGACGGATGGAAACATTTAGCCATCATGTTTGATACTCTTCCAATATAAGTTAAAAGAACTGAACATAAACACTTGAAGTTCTGGCCCAGGATACAGTACCCTTTCAGATGAGACATGAAACTATGCTGAGATCAGCAGTCCATACTAGCATAGATTATGAGAATATACTACATTAACAGGTTATCCATGTCACACCCATTCTCCATTCCCTACCACCAAGGAAAAAAAACACTTTTTTTTTTTCTCAGTTCTGTCCACTCACCTCCTCTGTGCATGCTGATATGATTTCTGCCCTTCCACATTTGACAGTGTGCTGTGTGTGCTTATATCTTTTTAGGACGCACCAGCTGCTTTGTTTGGAGGGCAGTATTTTTGTCTTCTGACATACTACTTTGTACTTTTCTGCCAGCAGCTGTATTAAATACCCAGCTATCTAGACAGAATGTTTCAATCCTAGATGTTCTCCAGAAAGTGATTTGGAAAGACAGTCGTGTTTGTTTTCATAAATTTTGTATACTTTAGAAAATGCACTGCGCATGAGGTATTTCCTCTTTGTTAAAAGGTCTGGGCAGCCCCTACTTTTCCGTAGTACCTCTTTGTCATCCTGTTCTATAATAATAAGAAGCAAGCAAGCAAACACATAAATATATCCTCCCTATAAATCAAAACAAACCTCTGTCGTTTTTTGGGTGTATTGCTTGTGCAGAAAATATTCTCTTTCCTCCCTGTGCTTTCTGTATTTTGCTAATTGACTATTTTGAATGCTTCTGTCAAAAAGCACCTACTTAGCTGCAGGCTCTCTGCTGCATAGCTCTCAGGAGGGCAGCTGGCTGGAGGTTTCTGTTTTGTCCCTCATCGGCTTCAAGGAGAAACCATCTGACCGCCACAATGACCACTCTATCTCCCAGTGCAGAATTTTAAAAGGCCTGGACTCTGCTCCCCTCCTGTTTTCCAGCATTAGCCAAGAGACCTCAGAATATTTTTACTGAATTGCTGAATCCCTCTGGACATTTAGAAACCAATACATTACTGCATTACTTTGCTTTTGTTGTTGCTGTTTTTCCTTTTAGTGCGATTGAAAATTGCACATTTGAGTTGGTAAAATGGTTTGCTGTTCCTGTCCCAGTCAAAATTTGCCTTATCATACTATTCTGTATGCTGTCGATTCCCCTCATTTTCTACCCCTCATTCATCTTGTCTTTCCTTTTTTCCCCTCATTTTATGGACGTCACTTCTCTACTTCATTTCTCTGTACCAAATGTAATACATAAAAAGCATCCAAGACTTTACCCAGCAAAGTTGTATATAACATTTTTCTGCTTATCTTGTCCAGCTGATACAGTGGCACTAGTGACAAGCCTTTAACAACATGTACGTGTTTGCAATAGCAGAGCCCAAGTAACTCACCTTGCTACTGGCTTTCACAAGCAAAGAAGAAACTGCCATTGTTTGTGCACAACACAGCAAAATTCCAGCATAATTTTACCCTCATTTTCCACTTGGCCTCCACATTTGTTGTAATTGCCTATTCTGTTATTTCAGATTAAGTATCTCACCATGGAAAGACTCATATCCACACTTAATTTTAATCCACGCTGGAAGCAGTCCTCCTGACTTAAATAGATCTACGCACACAAATGAAGCTAAGTATATGTGCAACCCCTTAGCAGACCACACACAGCAAATTCCACAGGAAAAGCATGGCACATTTTATTCATTTTACAATGTTTGCACATTAAATGCAGGTTGGATAATCGGTAACTATTTCCAGAGTTAGGCTTTTAGGTTTCAAACCAGCTTAATGGAAGCACCACGGTTCATCTATGACCAGGGGATAAACTCCAGTTCTGGAGAAATCAGAGTTGACATTAGAAAGTATAAATGATTAACTGGAGAAAACAAAAGGCACAAGATTTAAGACCACTGTAATAACTACGTATGCAAATAATTATTACAGCATGCCAGAGGAGAGTGATTTGGAGTTGGCCCTGAAGCGGAGGTCAACAAAAAAGACAGCTATGGTATTATTGCAGATAGGGAGTCCTGTGAGAAAAGTTGGGAAGGTCAGCAGCAAAAGGAGAAAGGAACCCAGGAGAGGGGCAGACGAGCACAGCAAGCACCCTTATAATAATAATAATCTATGATTATTCTCGCCCTAGCACCCAGAAGCCAGAGGCTGATTGCAGTTGTGCAAAGGGAGAACAGGGTTATGCAATCAAAGCTGGGGGGCTCCTGGACAAAGTTTTGGGGCGGGTTATCTTTCCAGTGGCCTGATAATGGGCTGGCAGCGTGCCCAGGTGGCCAAGAAGGCCAGCGGCATCCTGGTTTGTATCAGTAATAGCGTAGCCAGCAGGACCAGGGAGGTGATCATTCTCCTCTGCTCTGCTGATGCCACACCTCGGGTACTGTGTTCAGTTTTGGGCCCCTCATTACAGGAAGGACACTGAGGCCCTGGAGCTTGTCCAGAGCAGGGCTACGAAGCTGGTGAAGGGCCTGGAGCACAAGTCCTGTGAGGAGCGGCTGAGGGAGCTGGAGGTGTTCAGTCTGGGGAAGAGGATGCGCAGGGGAGACCTTATTGCTCTCTACAACTGCCTGAAAGGAAGCTGTGGGGAGCTGGGGGTCAGCCTCTTCTCACAGGTAACCAGTGATAGGACTAGAGGGAATGGCTTCAAGTTGTGCCAGGGGAGGTTTAGGTTGGAAATGAAGAGACATTTCTCCTCAGAAAGAGCAGCCAGGCATTGGGACGGGTTGCCGAGGGAGGTGGTGGAGTCACCGTCCCTGGGGGTGCTCAAGGAGAGGTTGGACGTGGTGCTTGGGGACATGGTTCAGTGGGTGACATTGGCAGCAGCATGATGGTTGGACCAGGTGATCTTGGAGGTCTCTTCCAACCCTAATGATCCTATGATTCAGTGCCACACCATGGCACAAAACCTCTGCTCTCTCATTCCCACACCCGCACCACCCCCCAGCAGCCCGACCCCACCGCAGCGCCTCAACACCTCGCTCTCCCCCGGCCACCTTCACCCATTACGGAGTACCAAATCCACACGGAGTTAAATAATAATTTATTAAATAAAGGCATGGCAGGGAGGGGGGGGGAACAAACACCCCAGCGAGAGGCGGGCGGCGACTGTGTGGCGAGCGGGACCCGCCCCGAGGCGGCGCCGCCGCCGCCATACGCGTGAGCTCAGCGCGTCGCGGAAACCGACGGCCCCGGCGCCGCCTCCCCTCAGCGGGCAGGGCCGGCCCCGGCAGCGCCGGCCCCGGCAGCGCCGCCCCGTTCTCTCCTCTCGCCTCCTCTCCCTCACACACAGAGACACGGACCCGGGGAGAGGCTCCCTGCGCCGGGTCGGCTTCTTCTGCCGCCGCCCCGCAGGTACACGGCGGCGGGGAAGCGCCCCCCCCCCCCCCCTCCCTCCGCCCCCGGTTCTCCGCCGGGGGCTGGCAGCCGCCGCCCTGAGCGTGGCGGAGGGGGGCGATGAGGGAAGGGGGGGGGGAGGTGGAGCGGAGCCGCCTGTGGGAGGAGGAGAGGGGTCTGTGGGGGTCCTGGGGGGTCCGGGGAGGGTTGGAAGAGGGGGGCGCTGCCCCTCGCATTGCTGGAGGGTGAAGTCATCGCGCCCATTGTCTCCCCCCCGGGCGGGGCGAGGGGCCTGTCCCGCCCCGAGGAGGAGGAAGAGGAGGAGGAGGAGGAAGACGGGGGGGTTGGGGGGTGTCAGGACCTCGGTTCGACCCCCCTGGAGGTGCGGGGAGGGGACGGGAGGTGGCAGCGGGGGCGCTTTCCTGGCCCCCGTCCCCCTGCGGCAGCGCGGCGTGCTGCGGGAGGATGGGGGAAAAACGGCGAAAAACGGGGAAAAATGGGGAACGACTCTAGGAAGGGCTGCAGGAGGGTGTGGGGGGGCTCCTGGTGCCCCACAGTGAGCAGGAAGGCTGAGGGGAGGGGGGCACAGAACAGGGGAAGGGGCCTCCCTGCCCCCGGGGGGGGGGTTCACTGGAAACGTGCCTGGGTTTCCCTGCGAGGAGCACAGCAAATCCCGGTTCTGGTCAAAAAGAAAAAAATACCGGAGCTGGCGTTGGAAGCGATTAGGGCTTTATCTCGGTTGTCATCGAGGACAGCAGTATTTTTTTTTTTTATTTATTTTTTTTCGTAAAGGCAAAGGGCAGGTTGGGAAATGGAGCTTGCAGCGTTCACTTCTGCAGAGGAGCCTCAGAAACTCACTTCAGAATACCAGCTTTCGTAATTCTTACTTCAAAGCTGTTTTTTTTTTTTTTTCAAACTTTTTTTTTTTTAGAAAAAGAGTTTCGTTTTTTGTCAGCTCAAGGGCTGCATTCCCCTGTCTGCTGAAATGCTGTGGTGGGGTTGCTGGGTGGAAAAAGGAGGCTTTCGGTTCAACGTCCAGAGCATGGGGAGCTGCCGGCTTCAGGGAATTCGCTTGCCTACGTAGAAGCACTGGTTGTGTAACAGCACTTACTGCTTTCTGAAGTTTTAGCATCACTTCCCTTGTAAACATTGCTCTGCTTGCACTTGAAAACTTTCCGAAAGCTGCGAAACCACTTTGTTTTAATTGCACGTGAGCCCAGACCCGTTTGGACCAGAAAATGAAAATGAAAGTTTTGGGCGTAATGGCAATAATGCTGCTCTTCAGGTCAGCTCACTAAAAGGTTTACAGGAAACCTCTCTCCCATATGCATGCTTTTTGAACCATGCCAGAGTTTCAGCAGTGCTTTATAAAATTCAGCATTTTACAGATGCTGAATTCTGCCTCTTGTCTCCACGCCGTCAGCTCGTTTTGAGTTTGAGGACATCAGATCATAAATTTCTACGAGGGGGAATTGAAATGTGTATATGCGGTTTTCTTCCATCCACTTCCCCTTAGTTCCAGCAGCCAAACGATGCTGTTCCTGCATAGAGCCGTCATCAGATTGTGTTTAATTACGCTTGTTGAGGCTCAGGAGGAAGGAAGGCACTTGATAGATGTATTTGTTTACCTTCGTAGTGTGTACAAATCCTTGTCTCTGCCTTAGTAAATGAATCATTAAAGCTCCCTTAGCCATGGGATTCCAAGTTAGTATTAATATACATGTTGGGACAACTTGTTTTGTGTGGATATTTTCAACTTGTGAAAGAGCACAAGTCCTTGAATTCTTTTGTCAGTTGGGCAGAGCCTTCCGATGGAAAATGGGCAAACTTTTTCTCTTCTTTAAATTATTCATTAACAGCGTTTTACTGTTTAACATGGCAAAAACTTTAGACTTTCAGTTTGTCAGGTGGGTAGGTGACTCTTCCTAACCTTCCCTTTTTTATTTTTTCCCGTTTACCTGGGCTTTTTTGATCTTCACGTGGTCTCATTAAAAAGATTGTTCACAAGGATACCTTTTCTTTCTTTCCAGTAGGATGCCTGAATCTTTTCAAAGAACTTCTGAATCCTGGAAGTGCTAAGAAAGGTCTTTGAACTCTGAACTGCAGCTACGCTGTTCTGTGCCACAGTCTGATGGCTTGTGGCCAAGCTTGTGGTCTCTATTATGGGGTCAGTTTACTCTGGCCCATGGTCAGACATCCGTAATTAGCTTTGTGATTTGTTTTCTGAATTGTACCTAAACGCTGCATACCAGCTTAGTGGGAGAAATTTTAATACCTGACTGGAACAAATTGATGGATACGTGTTGTAGGTTTTCCATTTCTTAGTGTGATTTCTGGCATGTAGCTGAGTTGTGAGTCAGTCGGATTTGTAGGGTCAGCAAATGCTCTAGGAAGGACTAATAAAAATAGTCATTTTAACACTGGCTTATCCACAAGAAAGTTAATGTCAGGTTTTATTTTTCTCTCTTTTTGCATTTGTCTTAGACCTAAGTTTCCGTTGTCACCTCTGCATTACCTGATGGAAGATGTGTAGCTGAAAGAAGTGGCGCATGTAACTCGGCTTCAAGATACGGTGAGAATGGTGTTGGATCTAAAGTTGCTAGATGCGTCTCAATTGCACCTGGACGTAGACTTCTACCAAGAAGGTAAAATGTTATGTTGAGCCTTAGAGAAACAGTTGTTTTTAATAGTGTTGGCCTTTGATTTCAGCAATGTACTTTTTGTTTTGTTTTGTTTTTCTTTTCTTTTTTATTTTCCCGTGAATGTGAAGGAGGCTCTGTCAGTTCCTAGGAAATTGTTTTTGTTTTTTTTTTAAATGTTCCTGAGATTTCACAAGAGGGGACTTCCTTTCATTTTTGATTCTCTGAAGTGGAAGTTTTATCCATGATCTACCCTAATGTCAGTTGATTTATAGTAGTTTATCTTTGGTGAAATAATCTTAAAGAAAACTGAAACTTTTTTGTGTTGTAGATAGGTTAGATTTCAGATATTCTGTGTTCTACTTTACCTCAGGAAGAAAGAAAACTCCAAATAAATGACTTCAGCTTGAACTAAGGAATCCAGCCCCAACCAGACTTCCATGTGTTTTCTTTCTGTTCAGAGTAGAATTTCAGTCTCTTCCTCGTACCTTTTCATTAAAAGGTTATTTCAGAAGATTACTTCAGTCACTCTTATTTATTCTCAGTGTTTTCTAACTTACTTGGTCTCAGGTCTTCTGCTGATACTTACCAATTGACAGATTTATTCCAAACTTCTGAGAAATTGACTCTCACCTTGTTATCCAAGGCTTCCTCGTAAGGATATTTTCTTTAGTTGATAAGATCAGTGGTAGAGACTTTCATCATCTGAGTGCTAAGAAGGCTTAGTCTTCTTCCTTCAGTGATCTCTGTTTGTTTCATGTACGTTTCTGGCAGTTTTCAGGCACTGCAGAGCTGTTTCACCTTGGTTTTGATTGCTGGGACTTCCCTGGCATGTGTGGCTCGCTTCCCTTAGTGCAGTGGGCTCAGTGTACTGGCTCAAGGATCCAAAACATGGCAATGATACCTAAAAAGAACTGTAAATGTTATGTGGGACTGAATATTACAGGCCTTAACAACATGGTTTTTATTGTATGCATGACTTACATTAGTTTGAATTCTTAAAAGATGGAGTTGAGAGAAGAAGGAAGCCCCACAGCTGAGCAGTAAGATGTCGTTTGTGGTATCACTCTTTCCTCATTAAGACAAGCAAGGAGGGCTTTGACTCTGTTCTGCTTGACTTTTGTGGAAGTTCATCTACAAGAAGCTTTAAGCCTACCTGGAGGTTTATCCATAGAATGGAAAAAAAAGTAGGAGTGCTTATATTACTCTTTTGCAGAGTAAGAATTACAATAGGCTTTCCACTCTTAACCTGTGGATTGAAGTCAGCCATCTGCTGGATGACTCCTAGCATCTTGCTGAACAGGTAGTCTATGCACTGCAACCACAATTGCCTTTACGAGGTGAGCATAGCTATAGAAGAATATTTTTTTTCTGAAGGATGAGTTTCTAGCAGGTTCCTTGCACTTCTAGGTATATTGCAACAGACTGAAAAGCTGACCTAAGACCTGCTTTAACCTAAAGCAACCAAGCAAAGAGATCTAATGAAATGAGATTTAAAAAAAAAAAAAAAAGTCACATATACACAGGTGTTTCCTCAGGCATTAAAACTTCCTTTCTTTAGAGGCCAGCATATCTTCTAATCATGTCTTCAGCAAGGTGGTAGAGCACCACTGGAGCCCCTCTCCTGTGCAGACAGGCTGAGGGAGCTGGGGGTGTTCGGCCTGGAGAAGAGAAGGCCCCGGGCAGAGCTTACAGTGGCCTGCCAGTGCCTAAAGGGGGCTGCAGGACAGGTGGGGAGGGACTCTGTGTCAGGGGGTGTAGGGATAGGGCAAGGGGGAATGGTAGGAATAAAGTAGATTTAGGTTATGTATTAAGAATAAATTCTTTACTGTGAGGGTGCCCAGAGAAGCTGTGGATGCCCCATCCCTGGAGGTGCTCAAGGCCAGGCTGGATGGGGCTTTGGGCAACCTGGGCTGGGGGGAGGTGTCCCTGCCCATGGCAGGGGGCTGGAATCAGATGATCTTCAAGGTCCCTTCCAACCCAAACCATTCTGTGATTCTGTGAAAGCATTTGAAAGGTATCTTGCTGAAAGAAGTGCTTGTACCAATTTAATTTGGTATAGTCACTTGTTTTTCTTTTTTGTGTGTGTGTGTGCTTCCTAAGTGAAGCACTGCTCTGCTAATGCAAGTATCCTGTTATTGTTCAACACAAACTGTCGTTGTGGAACTATGTCAGTTCTGTTTCCATTTATAGTTGAGATAAATTACTGTTAAACAAACATTTTTCCATAGGTCCTGTAGCTGCTCCCATAAGGCAGATTAGAGCTCTTATTCTAAATTGGAGCCCCTGGCTGTCCCCTTCAGTTTTTCCATTTATTGAATAAAGAGCTGCTTCAGCAAGAGGAATGGCTCTGGACACGCTGTCTGCCATAAGAATTACGTTGCTTTGTTCTCATTGAGATTCATCGATGCTGCATATTCTCAGTAAACAAAAATATCAATTTTAAGTTTGTCGCTTAACGTTCGGGTTTCTCACAGAAAATCAAACTGTGCAAGCCACGTCAAGTTAATCAAGCTCTATTTTTATCTGAACATGCTTAATCTGTAGGAGTTCCAGTTATACTGTTTGGAGAGAGGCTTCTGCTGAGACAGATTTACCTCGCATGTTTTCCAGAAAGGGTTTGTAGGGAGTGCTATGCAGTCCTGCACCTCGGGGATCTGCTGCATGGTGGAGGCTGAGGTGAGACTGAAGATCCTGCCTGAGCTGTGGGGGCTTTCTGGTGCTACCTGGCTGGCATTTTTGGCATGAGGGCATCACAGCATCAGTGCTGCTGCACCTTGTTTTTTATTTTATACGTATTTATACATGCATGTCTATACATACATATATAAATGTGTTCATATACATAAATTCACTTTGTTAGCTGTCTGCTCTTAGGGGCAAGTAAGAGTCTTGGCACCATGGTGGCTGTGTTCCAGAGGAAAAGACTTGGTGATGATATGCCTGAATGTGTCATCTGGCCATTTCCTTTGCTGGAAGCACATAGTACGCAGAACTGACTGGATATTTCAGCGAAACTGGTCAAGGGGAGGGATATTTTGGCAGAATTTCTGCAGTATCATCGTTCAGAAATCAGTCTCAGGAAGAAATATTTTTATATATATATATTTTTTTAGGAAGTAAAAGGCTTTTATTCTAGTCTAGGTTAGATAGCTGATGACTGCTTTTCTGCCATTGCTTTGGGCTTCTCGTGACCTGGAAATTGGCGCCATATGCTCAGTCCAGATTCCGTGCTGCAGCTTTTTCTCATCTTGAGATTTAATTGTACCTTGACGGTAAATGTTTTATTCAAGTATTAAGTGAAAATCTGTAAGGGGGCTGTGTATGAAGTGAAGATGCTGACAGAGGGTGGTGGACGCAGCATACTTCTTGTGTTTTCTCCTACACATCAAAATCGTTTATGTTGTGAGCTTCCAGCTGTCCCTCAAACACTGAACAGTGGAAGAACAATCAGATGGGAATAAGTAATAGCTGTAGTGAGACCACCCAACTAGCAAGGGAGTTGGAGTGAAGCCTGCTGAGAAACTTTTCCATCTGGGCAGCGGTTGGGAAGTATCGTAATTCGGGCCTACCTTTCAAGTTTCCATGGCGGGCAATCTAATAAGGTGATTAATGCAAAGAAATGTTTTCCAAATGAAGCGTAGTCAGGGTTAAGGGCTTCTTCTTGGGCTGTGTTACTAGAAAAACAATTTTTCTCACAAAAATTTCTGTTGTACATCCTTATGGTGTTCTTACTTTACATTCTTCTATTTTTAGTCAAAAAAATAAACAGATTAAGGTCTTAAATTTACTCTTTTTGCTGAATTGAAGACCTTGCTGCAGTTTCACAAGAAGAGCAGTTTCCTTCTCAGTTTCATTTTACCTGTAAAGCTGCATCTAATAGTTTGGTTTGATTTCATTCTGTATCTTCAAAGAAAGGTGTCAAGCTTTGCTTTTATATGACGCTGCTAAAAATACATCTTGGGAGACCAGGAGCCCTTTTACTCAGGGTCAGAGATGGAGGTATCAAACTTCGAGGTCCTTTTTAAGCAAGGGGATCTTCAGTGCTTGTAGCCTGTGAAGCCAGACTATTGCTTTCCTGCTGTGTAAGATTCTGTGGTCTGTGTGGGACAGCATAGAGAAAAAAATCTGCAAAGATACCGTGCTTACTCTGTTGTCTTAATTTTGCAACACCATAGTTTTAAACCACCTCCATTTGGAGTTTGTTTTTGTGTCTAGCAACCAAAAGTATTTTCCTCCTTCAGTTCCTACCTGAATAATTATTTTTCCCCTTTCATTCTTCCCGTTCCTGTTTGCTGTGTTTTTTTCCCCTTTAAGTGGCTGTACACTTTTGTTTGGGCTTTGTCTGTGGTGGGTAGTTGCAGAAAAGTAGGCTTTGCTTTCTGTGACCTGACACCAGGCAGAAATTCAGCTAGGGTAAGAATAGAAGAGAGTCTTGTAAGCCCAGCAGAGGAGTCCCGAGTCTTTCCATTATTAACAATTAAAGATGATTCCACGATAAATTAGGCAATGGATTAACTAACTAAAGAAAAGAGAACAAGGATAAACAAAGAGAAGGATCCTGCCTTGCAAGAATTCAGATGATTGGGATTACATGCTGCCTGCATGTCTGGAAAAGGAAGAACAAGCTCCCCTGTTTTCAGTGTTAATGTAGTTAGTAGCTAAGTTTATCTGGCACATCATACACCTTATCTCTTGCTGCTGAATTGAAGCTTCACGAGGAGGTGTTATGTACTGGGGGCACAGTTTAAGAAATAAAAGCACCCGGTGAAGTCCTGCCCAGCAGTATTGCGACTCTCAAACAGAGTAAGCAGTGAAAATGGTTTCTTCCCACCTCCTACACTCTGCCCTAATCAACATAATCTTGTGGCTAGATCTAGACTAAGAAGTGTTGTTTGGGTGAAGTATGAGCAGTGACACAGTTTTCTTTTCGTTGTAGCTTTTCCCTCTGTTTTGTTTCTAAGGCGTGATCTATTTTTTTTAGGGCAGTGTAATTAATCCATATC